TCAATGAAATGAAATGAGCATTCTAAAACAAATGTATATATCTGTCTAACAAATGTAATATATGATTGAATTGTTATTTCAAATCAATGGGAAAAGCAAGGCTTATTCAACAAATAAGGTGCATGAACCACTATTACTTGAGATAAAACAAATATGGAGCCCTATTTCACACATTCTACAAAATATATTCAGGTGAGTTAAAAATCAGTATGTAAAATCTAAGGGGTTGTAGGAGAAAATACAAAATAATATTTACCTTACCCTGAAGTAAACCATTCAAACCCAGAAGCTGTAAAATAAAATACTGACAATATGACTATATTAAACATTTAAGACTACACAGTAATATACATATAAAAAAAGTTAAGGGACAAATAATAGAATAGGAATGCATTTGCAACACATCTAAAAAAGGGTTAATAGTTTTTCTTTTAGGGAAAAAATTCTACAACCATTTAATCAAAAAATGGATAAAGAATACCAAAAAGCCATTTAAAGCTTTTAAAAATAATAGAATTAGGCAAGAAATATACAAAACAGGTTTAGTTTCAACAAATAATAAAGAAACAATTAAAATAACACGTCATTGTCACAATCAGATTAATAAGGATTAAAAATATTGGTAACATCAAGTACGGGTGACTGTGATAAGACCTGGGTATGCATAGGCTCTTTCTCTTCATCTTCTTAAAGCAGTCCCTTTAGCATATCTTGCAACGCTGGTTCAGTGGAGGTGTACTCTTTTAGCCTTCTTTTGTCTAGGAAACTCCTTATTTCGCCTTCCATTTGAATTGAGAGCCTTGCTGGGTAGCGTGGTCTTGGTTGCAGGCCTTTGCTTTTCATGACTTGGAATATTTCTTGCCATTCCCTTCTGGCTCGTAATGTTTCTGCGGAGAAGTCAGCTGCTAGCCGTATCAGGGCTCCCTTGTATGTTACTACCTGTTTCTCCCTTGCTGCCTTTAGGATTCTCTGTTTGTGTTTGATATTTGCCATTTTAATGATGATGTGTCGTGGAGTGGGCCTCACTGGGTTCCTCTTGAATGGGACCCTCTCTGCTTCCTGGGCTTGTGTGACTTCTTCTGTCCTCAGTTTAGGGAAGTTTTCCATCATTACTTTTTCAAACAGGTTCTCTATCCCTTGCTCCTCTTCTTCTCCCTCTGGTATCCCTACTATACGGATGTTATTACGTTTCAGGTTGTCCTGCATTTCCCTAACTGCCTCTTCATTGTTTTTGAGTCTTTTTAAAATTTTCTTGGTATTTCTGGGAGCCTTGACTACCTTATCCTCCAGCTTGTTGATTCGATCCTCTGCTTCACCCAGCCTACTTTTGATTCCTTCTACTGTGTTCTTCAATTCAGAAATTGTATTCTTCATTTCCTCTTGCCTCTTATTGACAGTTTCTATATCCTTTTTCATGCTGATACAGTTTGCACTAAGTTCCTCGTCATTTCCCTGTAGTTTTTAGTAATTCTCTCTGAGCTCACTGAGCTCAATGAGCTTCCTTAGAACCACTTTTGGAACTCAATATCTGATAATCTACTTGCCTCTATTTCATTTGGTTCTCTCTCTGGGGATTCCTCCTTTCCCTTCAACTGGGGGGTGTTTCTTTGTCTTCCCATTATTTGTGAGACTCTTCCTTTTTTGCTTCTGCTTCTTAAATTGGTCTGTCTTGATTTCCTGACTTTGTGGTGTGAACTTCTTGGTAGGAGACTGCTGTTTTTTCTTTCTGGATCTGCCTCTGATTATGTCAGATGTTGACCCTGACATTAGGTAGACTGTTCGAGACTTCCAGAAATCTACTGTCGTTGGCTGTCACGTTCAGTTGTTAATCTAGTCACTCTGCGCTGAGCAGTCAGGCTTAGGCACCACAGGGCAGGGCAGAGTCCCTCCTGAGGGTGGGGTTATCGGGCCCTCTCACGCTGCTGCTGCTCAGGGGAGTGGTCTGCCTGAGCCAGATGGCTGCTGCCGTATGGGGGAGGAGTCAGCATTGGGATCCCCCTGGCTTCTCTAGCCACTCTGTCCCCAAAGCCTCCTTCCCTAGTCTCTCCTTCAGCATCTCTAACCCATTCTGCCCCGCCTTTGCCAGAGACCAGGATAAGTAGCTGCAAATAAAAATCTATGCATTGGCTCTTTAAAAGGCTCTTGGAATCTCCAGCCACCTGCCTCTGGCAGAGAGCAACCCTGCCGCTTCTGCAGCTGGTTGTTAACCCGTGTACTTTTTGGGCTCTGGTACTGTTGCCTGGATATCCCTGCTTATGATTTAGACCCTGCTCTTCTCAGTGGGATCCAACCGGTTGTTTCAATATACTTCTGGTGCAGCCTCCCATGGGCACCCCGTCTACCTTTTTGAGTCTCCATTGTACTCCTTATCAGTTAGATTCTGCTAAAGCTGATTCTTCTTTCTGTCCGAGGTTATAAGGCTCCTTCCTTGCTATTGTTCAGTTGTTTGTTCCAGGTGATTTCTCCACAATTTAGTTTTAATTCCAGATTGGTTCTGGGAGGGGGTAATTGTGACTTCCATTCACTCCTCTGCCATCTTGATTTTTCTGAAAAATATTTTTTAAAACTGTGTTTAATTAATTTACTGATTGATAGATTTTTAGAGAGGGAGGGACAGTGAGAGAGAGACAGAGAGAAACATTTATATGTTTTTCACTTATTTATGCATTCATTGGTTGATTCTTGTATGTACCCTGGCCTGAGATTGAACCTGCAGCCTTGGCATATCAGGACAAAATTCTAACTGAGCTGCTAGGACTTGAAAAAATTTTTAAGCCCCACATTTTTCATAATCTGCACTAATGAATTACCCCTTTTCCCTAAGAACCTAATTATGGCTCATAGTTTACCCTATTCAAATCAAATAGCCCAGATATGTGTATGTACTCTGATAATTCACTATTTATGTATAGTGTGTAAACTTGGTTATTTCTCTTATTGTGTGCTTTTCAAAATATGGTTCATAATAATAATGGCAGTCTTTTTTTTTTAGCGCTCAATAGATGCTTTGCAAACGTCATCTCATTTAATCCTTGGAAAGAAAACAAACAAACAAAAACACAAACACCTAGGGTATAGGTATTGCCCTATTGAGAAATTTAAGTTCAGAGGATGTAACATTACAATGTGATACATTCGGTTAAAGGTGGAGAATGCTATTTAAATTCTGACTTTGAAACTCAGGTTCTTGACATCTATTTTATTCTGCCTCTGGTCTCTCCATGGTGAGTGTTGGTTTTAGAATATTAATATCTAGAGGATGGGTTCCAGATCTGTGGAGCAAAATGTGCATAGAGATCTTCAGAGTCCCAGGAACAATTAACACTTACTAAGTACTGTTGGAGAAGGAAGGGTATTTAATTATAATCACAACATTGATTTTGATGACAGACTTTGAATTTTCATTTTTAAAAATACTCAAGTGAAGTAAAAATATATCTTCTTTTAAACATATTTTTTTTTGTAAATTAATTGATTTAGTACACTGTCGCAGGCGAGCAGCACGGGTCGCTGCTCGTCCCTGGTCCAGGTGACAACTGCTGCGGGGATGGGGCGTGTCATGAGGGCGCGGTGCTCGGGACCTGGGGCCAGCTGAGATGGGAGCCTGGACTCTGAATCCCATAGAGCCCGTCCCAGGGTTGTCACGGATGGGGGGAAATAAGCATGAGTCGTAACAAACACTTCTCTGTTTGCCAGGAGAGGGGACAAGGTAATTTCACCACCCATTATGGCTCTTCTGTCTAGTGGGGAAGGCCCGAAGCACCTTTGTTCAAAGGCCTTTATTGAAAGGGTTATCAGTGGGGCTAGGTAACAGTAACGCACAGATTATCTCTTTACAAGAGTATGTTAATGTTTACAGAGAATAGATGATGTTTTGAAGAAAACAAAGGGCAAGGAACACACCATTTTACATGGGTCTGAGAGGAGACTAGTAATCATGAGAGTGTAAACATGGGAGCACCAAAGGGTATAGGGTTAGGGTCTGTGAATAATGTAAATTTCCTTCCCAGCTTGAGCTGGCTCTCATAACTTTTGAGGGAGAAACAAAGCATACTTTAAAGAATTTACTTTTAGGCCTGATTTCCCCTGGGAACCGCCAGATCTGGTTAGGACTGTCTCCAGTATTGTTTCAAGCCTGAGCCAGGCTGTGGGAGGGAGCCACCAAGAGGCAAGGAGACTTCTTTCAGATAAAATGAGGACTCCAGTCATATCCAAGCTGAGCCGAGGGGTGTGGGCCTTTTTGCCTTTTCTCTGTGTCCCCCCAAGTCCATGTCTGCTGCCCATACTGGCTGATGTCTGTCTTAGGTTGTTTGTCCTCGTGAGAAAACTTACCTGTCATCAACAACCGACCATCACAGAGCCAAGCAGGGTGATGTGAGGGAGGCAGGGGCTGCCAGGGGCTGCCAGGTTTTGTCTCTTAAGGGGACTGTTTTCCCCAAGGCCTCCTTGATTATTTCCAGCGTTAGGGCCCTCTCGCCTGTCAGCGGGGTTATAGTTCCTGAAACAAGACAGGGTGTTTCCCAGCAGTACACCCATGTATGACCAATAGCTCTGTTGTATTGGAAGCTTTCTTTTATTTTATCAGGTATCTGACCTGTCTGCTTTGCTTTTTGTTCATTGTGCACAGTCCAGATGGCAGGTATAGGTCATCTTAGCTGCCATTTTTGTCCAATAGACATTAAATTAAAGCTACTATTAGAAGGAACTCAGCAGAGCTGGTTTGTGCTAGTACATGGTTCCCCCTCTGCCCCAGTATTATCAACTTTTTCTTAATAATATTAGTCACAAGCACTTTGTGGCTATGATGGTGTCATTAAAATTAAACTGTGGGTGGTAACTTAATCCTTGTATATTCCATATCTTTCCGTAGACTTGTCTCTGATAAAATTAAATGCACATATAAGAATCAACTAGAATGCTAGCATTTTATATTTTTCCCCAAATTATAGAATAATTTAATAACTAACCATTAACCTTGCTTTTTGTATTTTTAACTGTAGTACCAGAAGAAAACATTGCAACTATGAAGTATGGAGCCCAGGTTGTAAAAGGAGAGCTGAAATCTGCCTTACTAGACGGTGATACTCAAAATTATGATTTGGACCATGGATTTTCCAGGCATCCAATTGATGATGACTGCCGTTCTGGCATTGAGATTAAGCTAGGTCAGCCATCCATTATCAATCACATACGGATACTCCTGTGGGACCGAGATAGCCGGTGAGTCTATCTGAATTGGAGAGACACTAACATTGTATTTGATTGAGGTAGCCTCACCTTGTGGTCATCTACTTTGGTTTTACAGATTTGGTGATTTATTTCGTTGTGGTCACTTGGCTGTTTGTCTTGAAGTTTTGTTCTGGGGGAAGAGTTAAAAGATCTGTTCCTTTAAAAATAACTTTTTGCTTTTTCTGCTTATAAAAATAAATGTGTATTTATTGTGGAAAACATAGGACATAAAGAAAAGCACAAAGAAATAAAAATTGCTGGTAATTTCACCACCCATTATTAATCTTTGTGTATATCTCGTCAGTGTTTTTTTGTACACATGGCATGTCTCTTTCTCTTTTTCCCTCATACACACACATGCACAAAACAGAATCCAGTAAAACCACACATAGTTTTACAAAATAAAGACTAGATGTGTAAAAAGCTAACTTCACTTTTTAATTAATACATTGTAAATATTTTACCCTTAAAAATATTTCTCTAAACTATTACTTTATATGGTTATCTGGTATTCTACCCTGTGGGTTCCTATTATTTATTTACTTGATTCCTTACTTTTGGATGTTATAACAAGTTTTAAAATGCATTTTATCTTATTAATGAGGAAAAACAATGTTTTTTTAGTGTGTGTGGATAAATATCACCCTCAGAACAAAAGAAATTTGTGAAAAAATTTGGTGGTCTATAGCCTAGGAATCTGCCTGCTTTTGCAGTGGCTTCAAGGTTCTGTCCTCTTTCTAGCCATTCTTATAATTTAATCCACTGTGGTTTCTGGGGTTCAGCCATGATAGCCAAAGTAGCAGAACGGTATGGGTGACCAAGAACTGAACTGTCTCTCTCATTGCTGCTTATCATTAACTTAAACCCTATATACCAAAAATCTGATGTACAGAGGGTTCCCTAGGTCCTATTTATGCCTCTTTGAGTCTGGGCATGCAGGGCTTAAGATTATTGGTGATGATACCCTGCAAATCTTGAAGGTTAGTTCATTTCTCTTGTTAGCACCACTGGCCACCATCCTGGCCATTTAGGTTATGAGAATCATGTATGAGGGAAGCTTTATGAAGTGGGAATCAGCAATTCTTATGTATGGGTCTTCAAGGTCCCAATATTAATGTTTTTTAGAAAAAAATTAAGAATGTATTGTTTTATTTTTATTTTTTATTGTTGTTCAATTACAGTTGTTCTCATTTTCCCCTTACTCTCTCCTGCCCTACCCATTCTTCCCCCGACATTCAGTCCTCCCCCACCCCGTTGTCTTTGTCCATGAGTCCTTTTATACATGTTCCTTGACTTGACCCTTCCCCTTCTTTCCCCTGTTATTCCCCTCCCACCTCCCCTCTGGTCACTGTCAGTTTGTTCTTTATTTCCATGTCTCTGGTTCTGTTTTGCTCACTTGTTTCTTTTGTTAATTAAGTTCCACTTATATGTACTATAAGATTATGGTATTTGTTTTTCACCACCTGGCTTATTTCATTTAACATAATACTCTCCATGTATCTTGTTGGATATAATATGATGCTTAGTTGGCAAAATGGAGGTAATTCACATATCATTTCTAAGGGTCTGATTAATAATAGTATTGTATTTATATAGCATTTTAATTACTTTTATGTGGTATGAGCTGTTACAAAAACATGTACATATATTCATTTAATTAATAATGAAATAGTATAAAAATAATAAAAGGAGAGGTTAGTGTGTTTGAAACTGAAAATAAGTAGTTATGATCATTTCCATGATGTTAAATATTTGTAGGTCACTTTGTTTTAATATGTGTGTTACATTCGCAGGGAACTTAAGTTTACCATGTAATATTCTTTTCTCACAGAAGTTGTTATCATTCTAAGCAAAGATGAAAAATTCAGAGTCGCAGCTGAAAAGATTCTGACATGTGTTGTAAATTTATATCCTGCATTACTGATAATCCAGAGAGGTTCAATGAAAGGTTATAACCAGACCAAGACTGAGTGATAAAATGAATGGGAGTGAGAGGACAGCAGAAAACGAGGGGATGGCACAAGGGAGCTGACCTTTTCTGGTCACAACTGTTGGTTGCAGGCTGACATTTATGATCACCTAAATCTTCTGAGATTGTTCCTGTTGATATTACAGTACAAGTAATAACTGCATCTCAAATTTAAATTTGGCTTATGACAGGGGAATATAGATTTGTTCAGGATGGGACCAGCATGTAATGGTCCAGGGTAGCCGACTAGGGAAGGATGACAGGCTATTTTCATTACTGCCAGATTATTAGCTGGCAAATTTTAAATTGTACCCAAAAGAAACATGTATTATCTCTTCACCCATGTCATATATTTTTCTGTAGGCTGCATGTATGTGTGAGATGGTAGGAGACTGTAGGGAATGGGAGAGAAGATGGCCTCCCTGGGGAACCGTTCAAGTTAGCTTTCCTCTGGAGAGTGTAGGGCTGAGTTCCCAGGCGGGGGAAGGTAGTGGGAGAAGGCACACCTACTTCTGTTTTCTGTCCTATCATTGTCATAGCCTTATTAATCTGTTAATATGGAATGAGCCAGGCATCCTGGCCCTGTTTGAAGAGGAACAAATGTCTTGCATGCCTGATATGTGCCAAGCACATGTTAGAGCCCGGATATATGAAAATAAATATGGTGCGGTATTTGTTTTTAAGCAGTTTGTAATCTAATACGGCAGACAGACATGCTGAGAATTTCAGTACATTGCGGTGAATGCTATAATAGGGGGATCTATGTAGATTTCATCATTATCCAAATCTGATGGTTAAACAGGAAATGTAATTCATGAATAGTGTGGTTTTGGGGGCTCTTAATGTTTTATTAAAATATATTTTTGTGTTGTTATTTTAACATGGTCCTTTTTTTCTGCCTTTTTTTTTTTTGATTCATAGGTCTTATTCATACTTCATTGAAGTGTCAATGGATGAACTTGATTGGATCAGAGTGATTGATCATTCACAGTATCTATGTCGTTCTTGGCAAAAGTTATATTTTCCAGCCCGTGTCTGCAGGTTAGTTCTCATAGCTAATAAATGATTTTGATGTTAATTTATGGAGATTTGGACTTTCAGAAACAGATTACATTTTTTGACAGCACAGAAAAGTTTTTCAGAGTATGCATTACCAAATGCATACCAACTAAAACTTAGGGAAACTATGGAAAATTGAGCATCTTAAAATCTACAGTGTGCTGTGGAGCTGTATATCCAAGGTATTTTGTATTGTTTTTATGCATTAGACATGTAAAGCAATAAGCAGGGACACTGAGAAGTGGAAATACTTCCTGAACTGCATGTTGTCACTTGAAAGCAGTTATTAGCGGGTATGTTCTTCCCACAGAAGCCATGAGAGTATTTCTGGAGGTCTCCCTAGCAGTCCTCAGGGCCAGGAGGAGATTTTTGGATGCTAGTGTTCATATTCTGAATATCTTTGTTCTTTTTCTAGGTCAGTGGGTATCCATGGAATTTGACAGAGCAGGTGTTTCTCGTGGGGTTGGGTTTGGGGCAAGGGAGGCTGAGCTGGTGGGGCTTCAGGCTCACACCCTCCCTTCAATCAGAGCACCTTAGCTTTTATTGCTGTTAAGTATTGCAGTCCCATGTTAGCTTGTTTTTAAAAGTATTGATAAACTACTGTTCTAATATTTCATATTCTTCTTTTAGGTCTAAGTCATATTTTAAACTTTCTTTATGAAATTCTATAAAACCTATACAAATAATGAATTTGGAAGTTGGGAAATGTGGTGTAAGGCTCCCAAAATTGTGTTGTGTTTTTTCTGTTGTAGTTTTCCCTTTGGAAAGCGCTCTCAGATATTCTTTACCTTAGAGTCAAAGGATTAAAGGCAGAGTCATTTGGTTGGCTGTGGCAAAAAAGAAGGGAAGGGACATGGTAGGTGTAAAGCAGGGAGAATGTGGTTACTTACTCAGTAACCTCCTCATCCTTACCTATGACCTTGACTGACCTCCCATTGTGGCTGACTTGGAGTAGGTGGGTGCCCCACAGCACTTACTCTCTTGGTCAGAAGACACCCTTATACTTATTAAACTTATGATATAGCAACATCAGACTGAATTTTTACTTCCACCACAGGAACACCACAAAACCTTTCAGCCTCTGGTATAGTAAAGAATGTTGCCTACATTTTTTTATGGGTATTATGAGACAATATTGTTACCCAGGGATCCTCTTGTGTGAAAATGAAGAAAATCAATTTCATTTCCCCAAAGGGGGACTAAAGTGTCTCAGTTATGGCAGTTGTTCTTTTATTAGAGGAATTTTGAATGGATTAAAATGAGAGGGACAAGAAATTGAGCGAAGATTCTGTATCTCAGACCTGCCTAGGGATACTTTGAAAGTGACAGAGCAGCCCTGACATGGAGGGTGTGATCGAGTCTGCATCGACTCAGTTTATTACTGTTGTATTGGATTAAAAAATGAGTGGCGTAACAACCCAAGTGTCTGATGTGGACCGAAGGATTGTGTGCTTGTATTTAATTTAGAACAGTAAGAACATGACTCCCAGAACAAATCATCATAAATATAAAACCAGCCATGACAGAGAGTCTGTGTGCTTTACCCATCTTAAAACATGCCCTCAGTTACAGTCTTTGGCTTTTAGAAAATATATTTCTCCTTATTTATTAATGGACATTATATATACTACTCTTTCCTTATTTTGTCTCTCCCATGTGGCTTTTACTTTGTTGGTGTAGCTTTTATATGTTCTAGAGCCGAGCTGTGTTCTTTTCTCTTTTTTAAATGTATATTTGATTGATTATGCTATTACAGTTGTCCCATTTTTTTTCTCCCCTTTATTCCCCTCCACTCTGTACCACCTGTCCCCCCAACATTACCCCTCTCCCTTAGTTCATGTCCATGAGTCGTACATATAAGTTCTTTGGCTTCTCTACTTCCTATACTATTTTTAACCTTCCCCTACCTATTTTGTACCTACTATTTATGGTGCTTATTCACTGTACCTTTTCCCCCATTTTTCCCCTCCCCCGATATCCATTTCTATGATTCTGTTTCTGTTCTAGTTGTTTGCTTAGTCTGTTTTTGTTTTTTTAGGTTCAGTTGTTGATAGTTGTGAGTTTGTTGTCATTTTATTGTTCATAGTTTTGATCTTCTTTTTCTTAGATAAGTCCCTTAACATTTCATATAATAAGGGCTTGCTGATGATGAACTCCTTTGGCTTTACCTTATCTGGGAAGCACTTTATCTGCTCTTCCAGTCTAAATGATGGCTTTGCTGGATACAGTAATCTTAGATGTAGGTCCTTCCCTTTCATGACTTTGAATACTTCTTTCCAGCCCCCTCTTGCCTGCAAGGTTTCTTTTGAGAAATCAGCTACTAGTCTTATGGGAACTCCTTTGTAGGTAACTGCCTCCTTTTCTCTTGCTGCTTTTAAGATTCTCTCCTTATCTTTAATCTTGGGTAACAATTATGATGTGCCGTGGTGTGTGCTTCCTTGGGTCTGACTTCTTTGGGATGCTCTGAGCTTCCTGGATCTCCTGGAAGTCTATTTCCTTTGCCAGATTGGGGAAGTTTTCCTTTATTATTTTTTCAGATAAGTTTTCAGTTTCTTGCTCCCCCTCTTTTCCTTTTGGCACCCCTATGATTTGGATGTTGGAACATTCAAAGTTGTCCCCAAGGTTCCTAAGCCTCTCCTCATTTTTTTGAATTCTTGTTTCTTCATTCTGTTCTGATTGAATGTTTATCTCTTCCTTCTGCTCCAAATTGTTGATTTGAGTCCCAGTTTTCTTTCTTTGATTTTTGGTTCCCTGTATATTTTTTTTATTTCACTTTGCATAGCTTTTACTTTTCCCTCCATTTTGCAACCATACTCAACCAATTCAGTGAGCATCTTGATTACTGTTGTTTTGAACTACGCATCTGATAGGGTGGCTATCTGTTCATCACTTAGTTCTGTTTTTGGAGCTTTTATATGTTCTTTCATTTGGGCCATGTTTCTTTGTCTTAGTGCATCTGTTACATGCGAGGGGCAGAGCCTTAGACACTCACCAGGGTGGTAGATACTCACCAGGGTGGGGCAACCCAAGTCACTGAGTTGTGACACTGTGTGAGGGGGAGTGGTCTGAGAGGGAACAATGCTGCTTGTGAGGCTCTAGGCTGGCTTTCAATCACTCCCCCTACGACTCACAAGCAAACTGGGGCCTTCTGGTGCTGATTCCCAAGTGAGTGGGTTTGTGTACATTCTAGGACCCTGTGGGTCTCACCAACAGACTCTCCTGTGAGGCTTGAGTTTCTCCTGCTGCTGCAACCCCCACAGGTTTTTACCACCAGAGGTTTTGAGACTTTCTTTTCCCGCACTGGAACCCTGGATTGTGAGGTCTGACTTGCTCCCCAGCTGTTCTTGGTGGTTTATCCGCATGCAAATGTGGAACTGCCCAGTTCTCCAGCATCACCTTGCCACACGTCCTCTCCATCCTGGTTGCCTGTCTGTGCCCCTCCTGCCTGTCTGGATGAATGTTTCTTCTTTAGCCCCTTGGTTGTCGGACTTCCATTCAGTTCAATTTTCTGGCAGTTCTGGTTATTTATTTTGTTTTTAAATTTGTTGTTGTCCTGCTTTTGGTTGTGTGAGGAGGCAGAGTGTATCTACCTATGCCTCCATCTTGGCCGGAAGTCCCTGAGCTATATTCTTGGTGGTAGTTTTTGTCTTGGTATGGCTAGCTCCCAACTCTGGTCAAGAAAAACTGAGAGAGGTTCTGGGTGGAGGGGGTTAAAGGGGGAAAAATGAGACAACTGTAATAGCACAATGAATAAAATATAATTAAGAAATAAAAAAAGAAAAACTGCGGAAAGGTGATATTAGAGATAGTGTTAACAAGAAAAAGAAGGGGCCTTGATACTGATATTAGTTTAAAAAATTTTAAATATTTATAACCACTTTAAAGTACAGTATTAATTACAACATTCCTTCATAAACTCTGCCTTTTATAATAGGTTGAAATTTTGGTAGTACTTTTAAGTGAACCTAAGAATAAGTCCCTATTGATTATTCAAGGATGTCTTATACTTGGTGCTTCTTATCTTCACAATCATTTATTGACTATAACTAAACAGTATGCTGAATATACTTCTTCTAGGAACCTCACTAGGCACACATTTCCTTAGCACATAAGTCTTCAGTTTGCATTATGTTAAATTGAACATTAGTTTGTCATGTTTGTTCTTCAGTGTCCTTCACGTGCTTTTGTTGCCTCTGATACTAAAATTACAAGCTCTTGGAGTCAAGGAGTATGGAGTCTAATCTCTTAGTGTTCTTACAGCACTGAGGTTATGACTTTGTATGCAGTAGGTACTCTTTAAGTGTTACCACAGGCCTCATGGGCACTGACTGGGTAATGAAGAGAGAGTTCTTCAACATTAATATGTGTATATGTTCATTGGTTCTTTTTATCCTTGTATTTGTTAAAATGCATATCCTTTTTGGAAAAATCTTTGGAATGGTAAATAGTTTGTGTTGTACTGTTTGTGAATGTTACTTTCTGTTTTTTCTTTAGGGAACTGAATATTGAGGTTCATTTCAGAGAATATGAGTGTCATCTACTGATGAAAGATTTTGTCAAATATATACTCTGTAAATTGGGGAGTATGAAATTACCCAGCCCTCTCTCTGAGTCCAGGCTGGACTGCATGTAAATCAGCATTTTGTAAGAGAGAATCAATGGGCTGTAGTGGTAGTGAGAGCTCTTCTCAAATCCTGGTTTCATCCAGTGCTGGCACTGTGATCTTAGTAAAGTTGTGGCCCTCTGAGCCCTTGTTCCTACACCAGTAAAACACAGGAATAACCACACGCCTCATGGGGTCTGCCATGCATGGTTAGATGGCCTAGAGCACTTGCGAGTACTGAGCACAAGTGAGCACAGCGCCTGCCCCAAAATAGGCCTAGTAAATAGTTGTTTTTATTATTAAAATTTTTTAAATTATTATTTTTTTAATTTCTGAGACTCTTAGCTGGTGTTTGACCTTCAGAGAATGAGAGCCATCC